GTACTAACCTGTGAAGGTGGCGCCTTGTTGCAGGTACATTGAAGACGAAGTTGGAGCTATGGCGCCACAGGTTAGTCTCCCTGGCCTCCGCCAACCATCTCTCTCTTTCCAACGCTACTCTAGCTCCTACTAGCGCCCAGCGCTGAAGACTACTCCTAACGCTACTACTACTGCCGCGCTCCTCCAGAGTGCTGCTGCCGAATCCTGAAGACTGCTTCCTGCCTCCTGCACGTGAAGTGTCTGGGAAGTCCCTATGAACTACCTGCAGCCTGCAGGGAAGGCCAGTCTTATATAGTGCAAGCCCGTCCAGGAGGCTGCTCTTGCCAATGCTAAAACGTACCAGACCCTGGCGTTGAAGCTCAAACAAAGGTTGTCTTGAAAACAGGCCCAAAATGGCATGTGCTAAAACCCTGCTCTGGTGCCTAAGTTTCAGGGCAGGTCGATCTTATGAGGGCCTGAAAATGGCCCTCCGTTTCAGGCTGAAAAGACTCGGGGCCTGGAGGGCCCTGTTTTAGGCTGAAACGACACAGGGCCTGTTGGCCCTTGTTTTCAAGCTTGTAGGCTGAAACGACACAGGGCCTGTAGGCGCTTGTTTTCAGGCTTTCAGGCTGAAACGACACGGGGCCTGAAAATGGCCCTTGTTTGTAGGCGCAGCATGTTGCAGGCCCAGTATGTAACACCCCCCCCTCCTTATGAAGTCAAGCCGGGTCGAGGGCGAAGCTGGTGATCTGAAGGTGGAACCTGGACGCGGGTGCGACGCACCCGCGTGGAGCCGAAGATACCGCCTTGCCTTGCATCTTGTGTTTGTAGCGTGCAAGAACATCTGGAGTTGTTGCTTGGAGTTCTGCACGGGTCAACCAACGGTCAACTTTGTGGGTGCAGTACACAAAGAGTACCAAGTATTCGGTTGGCATGTTGTCGTATCATCCCTGGGAGATGATGTTGCCGACCTCTTGAAAACCGTCCATAGAGGGTGGGTCTTACAATCGTCGCCCAGGAAAATCGTCATGTTCCGCTGGAGTGTAAAGAGCCAACTTGGAACAATGAAAGACCGGGTAGACGAGCAAGTGGGCGGGCACCTGAATGATGAAGGAAGGTCCATCAAGTGCATCCCCAACGGGTGCCATGATCGGCCACGGCCCCATCCATTTCGGGAGGAGCTTGCGAGAGATATCTTGTTCGAGGCTGAACTCCGAGGCGAAAACCCAAATGAGATCGTCGGCGCGGAATGGACAAGGAAGACGCTGGCAATTGGCCTATTGGCTCATGCGTTGCTGCGTCTTAGCCATCTGGTTGCGTGCCTTGACAAGTAGCTCTTGCATCCGACGCACGAAAAGAAGATGGTCGTCGCTCTCGGCCGTTCGTGGAATGATTGTGTCCAACGGAGAAGTGATCGGCGAGCCGTGCTCGAACTCGAAGGGCGACATCCCGATAGCCGGGTGGATGGACGAGTTGTATGCCAACTCGACATTCGCTCGCCGCTCAACCCAATCCTTTTGGTCGGGACGCATGAGAGTGCGAAGGAGAACCTACGCGGTCTGATGCGCCCTCTCCATTTGGCCATCGGTTTGGTGGTGGCGAGCCGAACTTGGCTTGAGAGATGAGCCCCATTGTTTGATGAGTGCCAACCAAAATTCGGACACGAACCGAGCGTCGAGGTCGCAAACGATTTCCTTGGGGTAACCGTTGGTTGGAATCCAACCGGCATAAAGACCAACTCCGGTGCCTTAGCATGATAGCGGCAAGCCAAAAACATAGCGAACTTGGTGAGTCGGTCGACAGCAGTGAGAATCCCATCCACACCGGTCTTGTGCTTGGGGAACGGCCTGGTAATGTCCATGGCAATCGCTTCCCTCCGGCGCAAGGGGACCGGTAATGGTCGCAACTCGCCGTACGAACGATGGTTGCGGGATGTGCAGAGTCGGCAAACCTCGCATGACTCGCAATAGCGTGTGACGTCGCCAAGAAGGTCGGGCCACCAAAAGCGCTCGCGAAGTCGGCCAATCGTTCGATTGACTCCGAAGTGTCCGGTGGCGGGAGCATCGTGGAACTCGCCAAGAAGCCGTGTACGCAAGTAAGAGTCACTCGGTACGCAAAGAAGGTCCTTCCCCCGAGTGTGGACAAGCAAGTACCCCTCTTGGATCCGGTAGTGAAAAGGCACCGGATTAGGAGAGGAGCAATTCGCGTACTTGTCGTGAAACTCGGGGTCGGCTTGGTAGCCGCGGATGAAACTGTCCCGCAGATCGTCGTCAATCTCGAAGGTCGAATAGACTGCAGTACAATGATCCGGACGCCGTGAAAGAGCATCTGCGAAACGGTTAGACTTCCCTGGAATGTGATCGGGAAAGAAGTCGAATTGGTCGATGAAGGTCATCCAACGGGCGATGGTGCTATTGACGGTGTCTTGGGTCTTGTAGAAGACCAACGGATTGTTGTCCGTTACCCATCGGAATTGACTTCGACCAAGGAGGATGTGCCGCCACCGCTTGACTGCGTGGACGAAGGCTAGGAGCTCCTTGCGTGCATCATTAATGGAGTGCACGGCGAGCACTTTCTTGCTGAAGTACTCGATCGGGTGCCAATCCACGCCATCGTGTTGTTCGAGGACGGCACCAATGCCATAGTCGGACGCATCCGTAGTGAAGCGCGTTGGCAATAGCGGGTCGTATACGCGCAAGACCTCTGCAGATAATAGCGCGGCTTTGAGAGCCAAAAATGATTCCCGCGCATCCTCTCCAAAGTCAAACGGTCGATCCTCGCATTGAAGCTTGGTCAAGTGGGCCGCCATCTTCGAGTATCCCTTGATAAGACGCTGGTAGTAGCCGGCAAGGCGAAGGAACGAACGGACATCCGTGACGTTCCGCGGCTCCGGCCACTCTTGGATGGCTTGAATCTTGTCCGACAACGGACTGATGCCCTTCGGTGTGACAAAATGGTCCAAATATTACAGCTCTTGTCGGACAAATTCGCACATGTCGCGGTTGGCTTTGTACTTGGAGCGGCGGAGCGTCTCCAACACTCGTCAAAGGTGCTCAAGATGATCCGCCAATGTCCGGCTATAGACGAGAATGTCGTCTAAGTAGACTAGCACGAACCGGTCCAACATCGCACGGAACTCGTTGGTCATTGCCGCTTGAAAGGTCGTTGGGGCATTGGTGAGGCCAAAAGGCATGACCACCCACTCAAAATGCCCATATCGCATCTTGAACGCGGATTTATAGCGATCGTTCGGCCGGATCGAAATTTGATGGTATCCTGATTTCAAATCTAACTTAGAAAAGTACTTCGCGCCACCCAAATGCTCAAGGAGATCGTCAATACGAGGAAGAGGCCCCACATTCTTCACGGTTTGCACGTTGAGCTTGCGGTAGTCGATGCACAATCGTAGATCCTTGTTCTTCTTCCGTGCGAAGAGAACTGGCGCTCCATATGGGGAGCTACTAGGGCGGATCCAGCCCTTGTCCCACAAGTCATCGAGTTGCGCGTGGAGGACCGTAAGCTCCTCCTCGCTCATGCGGGGTCAATGCAGCCTTTTGGTGGCACGGCACCAGCCTCAAGAATGATCTCGTGAGAGATCGGCCGATCCGGCACCACACCGGTAGGTGACTCGAAGATGYCGGTGAACTCGTCAAGCAACCGCACCACACGGGGGTCCGAAGATAAGTCCGTGGGGGAAGAATCGGCTACCGCAACGGTTTGTAGGAAGCATAGGCCTATCTCATCAGGCCGCTCGTAAGCGCAAGTAGCCCGAAACGACTTGGCCGTCACCACTTGGCACCGGATCGAAGGGTGCAGAAGAGGAATAGTACACAGCAGTTCGACGCCGAAGGCGTCCCGAATGGTAAGAGTCCGCCTGTGGAAGTTGACCGTGTGATCCGCACTTGCAAGCCAAGCCGTTCCCAAAATGATACCGAAGTCCATGTCCAAAATGACGAACGTCACCGGTTTGCATGCATGAGGTGCGAAATACACCAGTACGGCCTCAATGTAACGGTCGATAAGTTGTTGCGTCCTTTCGTCTGCCACCTTGATCGCCATCAGGTTTGCCTTCCTCCGAACTTGTGCGCCGAGGCCAACCCTGTGCATAAAGGCTTGGCTCATGAAATTGCGAGTCGCGCCGCTATCCAGCAAAGCGCCGCAGGACGCTTGCCCAACTTGGGGTGGACATAGAGGAGCGGTGCGTTGTTGTCATCGTACAGTTGCTTGCGAAACTCGCGGGCCACCTTGGTAACATACGCAAGGATGTCCCCCACCGCAGCTTCGTCATCCGTCAGCGAAGTTGGTGGTGCATAGAAGGATAGATTTGTGTGAAGATGAGCGCATAATGCTGCCCATTGCATTCCTGGTACGCGGCCCGTGGTCGGGAAAGGAAGCCATGTGAAATCCTTCTATGTGAACGGGTCCAAGACCTCTATGTTGAACTCGCGCGCCGAATCCCGTGAAGAACCACTTGAAGACGATAAGTCACCCATGTCGGACCGAGAAGATGCACACACGTCTTGTCCTTGAGCATGAGTACCCAGCTTAGGAACGAGTCGGGCAGCATAGTCCACATAAGAATATAGAAGAGGAGGACTATCGACTTCCGCATGTACCTCAGAACGAAGGGCGGTCACCCGCGAAGCGACCGGTTCCGAAGGCGTCGAGAGTGTCGTCGATTCACTCACGGCGGTGCTCAGTTTCCCGGCTTGCCCTTGCCTATCGACGGGCAACCCACTGTGTCGTGGAGATCACTGTTACACTACAGACAATAGCGGAATCTCGTGCGTAGCTTGTACGCACGTTCGGAGAGACCGTAGTGGGACCATGGGGCTGGAGCTGTTGCACCGGGCCCGGGGATAGATGTGGTGTTTGTCTTCGTCTTGTCGGGTCCTCGGTCTTTGCCGGGGCGGCCACCATCCCAGGCGGCCGCAAGTCTGTCCCCTTCATTGCCAGACACGGCCTCGCTAGAAGGGTCGGTTGGCGTTGCCCCCGCGAGCACGACCACTTACGACTGATGCTGATCTTTGCTCAAGCCTGTCGCAGACGAACAGTTGAGGTTCTTGGCCTCCTTGTTCGTGATAATGATCTGTGTGGCCTTGTCAAAAAGCTCCGCCGTTGTCGTCAGGATGTCCTCGGCGTGAGTCAAGGCGTTGCCCAACGTCGAACACGACCTCGTGATGAAGTAGTGTTTGACGGCCTTGAAGCCCATCTGAATGTCTGGGACGGATGTCAAGCGTTGGTACTCGGCAATACAGTCAACGCTCGACAGCGTGCCTTGTTCGAAAGTCAGCAATTTGTCCATTGCCTTGATCTGCGGCGGCTCTACTTGGAACCGCTTATGCCACGCCGCCTTTAGATCATCCCAGCTGATCTTGGTGTACAAGTCGACAGCTACCACCCCGTACATGGACAAGAGATTGTCCAACCATGCTTGGCACGCGCCCCCCGACCGGGAGTATAAGTACGCGTGTTTCTTTTCCTCGCTGACATGATGTAGCTGCAACTTGAGTTCAAACTTGCGGAACCACGGACTCGGGTCCGTCTTCGTCGAATCGCAAAACATCTCCTGACCATCATACTTTGGAGTCGTCTCGCACGGTGCCGAACTTGAGTTGGCGGCGGCAGCACAGATCTGTTGCTCCAGTTGCTGCGTGGTGGTTTGCTGTAGCTGCACGCCGTCCTTGAGGGCTCCGACGTCGATCTCCAATGCATTGAGGCGATCGGAGGTGTTGGAGGAGCTGGCAACGAGGGCGGTGACGGGTTGTTGCTCCAGCTGCTGGAGGCGGCTGTTGACTTGATCAAACGCCCGTTTGTGCATCTGAACCGTGTCATCGAGGCTGTGGATGTCCTCCTACTGTGCAATGCACGTTCCCAGGAGATCCATGAAATGGGAGAGGAGTAGAGCGATCTTGCTTTCACTCTCTTCCATCTTACCATTCTCGGCCTCGGCCCGCCACTCTGCTGCCATTGTGGGCAAGGCTCGCTCTCCGTTGAATATCTTCTCACGTCCTTGATTTCGTTCTTCATGGGCAGCCTTTGCTGCTGCCTCGTCTTGCTGGCGCTGCTGTTTGATTGCCAACAGAAGTGCCTTCTCGGGGTCCTTTGCCTTCTTCTTCTCTGCGGCTGTTACCTCATCCGCCCGTTTCTTGGCTTCGGTAATCAAAGCCAGCATCCGGGCCTGATAGGCCTCGGGGGTTTCCCCGGACTTCTGCTCCATGCCGACTGTTTGTAAGCGCGTGAGCATAGACCAGGCCGGAGGACTGCTGACATGGCACTGTTCGGCTGCTGATGGGGTGTGGCTGTCAGCTGACGTGGCCTGCTGACATGGCAACTCACCAATGCCGCCACAAGGGGTACCCGGAGACAGATAGAGAAGATAAGACCAAAGGGGGCAACAACATAGAGGGGAGGGGCGGGTGGGATAAATCTCCCAGATAAGGAGCCACTAATCAAAAAAAATAAGTTTGAACTTTTCCAAAGAAAACAATTTCGAGAAATTAATAAAAATCCCGAATTTTGCAAGTTCAGTAGGTCTCCCAATCTCCCTTAAACCAAAAGAACAACGAAAATCGGAATTTTCAGAAAAAGAAAAAGAAAATCGATTTTGGCAGTTAGGTCCAGATGTCCGATCAGGTTGTCCTGATTCACGTGCGGTGCTCCGATACCAACTGATACATGCCCAGTTGGGCAATGTATGTACAGCCAAGGATCCGCAAGGTGATGAAAAGGACTGAATGGACAATGCAGTGTTAGTGGAACCTCAACAAGCAGTGCACATCCTGATACATACAAAATGGCATTTTGTAGCGCAGTGGAAGACTTGGATATAAGTCCTGACTTGACCGGGACTGACACGGCATCCCATTATGCATCACCCATGTGAGAGGAGGAGGAGATACCAAAGTGTTGCATACCGTAATGGTGCAAACCAGAACAAGGACCGACCTCCTTCACATAGTACAAGACAGCGCAGCGGAACGCTAGGATACAAATGATCAACCCAATCAATGCCGCAATGCAGACCCAACATACATCAACATCGTTGCAAGGTGTGAAGGGCCTGGCGCTACACACAGGAAGAATGCGCCAGGTCCGGACCATACACAGACGAAGAGGAGGGGATCAGACGAAGAAGAGGGGGAAGATGGGAATGTTGTCAACACCAAATCTTCGGTACAGGTCCCAAATAATCCCTCGTTCAATGTCTCAATCCCAATGTCGAGTCTGAATCCAAATGTCGTCAAGTCCCAAATTCACCAATCTCTCTCCCTCTCGTAGTCTGCAGATACTGAGAAGTCAGGTAGCGAGAGGGTGAGGGAGAGATGGTGGATGTAGAAGAGGAAAGAAGAAGAACTCTCTCTCTCTCTCAGTCCGGTACTAACCTGTGAAGGTGGCGCCTTGTTGCAGGTACATCGAAGACGAAGCTGGAGCTATGGCGCCACAGGTAAGTCTCCCTGGCCTCCACCAACCATGTCTCTCTCTCGAACGCAACTTTAGCTCCTACTAGCGCCCAGCGCTGAAGACTACTCCTAACGCTACTACTACTGCAGCGCTCCTCCAGAGTGCTCCTGCCGAATCCTGAAGACTGCCTCCTGCCTCCTGCACGTGAAGTGCCTGGGAAGTGCCTGGGAAGTCCCTATGAACTACCTGCAGCCTGCAGGGCGGGCCAGTCTTATATAGTGCTGGCCCGTCCAGGAGGCTTCTCTTGCCAATGCCAAAACGTCCCAGATCCTGGCGTTGAAGCTCAAACAAAGGTTGTCTTGAAAACAGGCCCAAAATGGCCTGTGCTAAAACCCTGGTCTGGTGCCTACATTTCAGGGCAGGTCGATCTTATGAGGGCCTGAAAATGGCTCTCCGTTTCAGGCTGAAAAGACTCAGGGCCTGGAGGGCCCTGTTTTAGGCGGGAACTACACAGCCTGTAGGCCCTTGTTTTCAGGCTTTCAGGCTGAAACGACACAGGGCCTGAAAATGGCCTTTGTTTGTAGGCGCAGCATGTAACACTTGCCACAACTTGTGGCGGAATTGTGTCAATCCTCCTGATGGTTTCTTCAGATGCCAAGTTTGGCGAGTAAGTGCAACCACGCGCCTATTCGCGAAATTCAATGCAACTAGGCCCTTTGAAAACCATGGCATCCATTTTTATTTTCCCCCTTCAGGAGATGCGGCAGATGAACTGTGGAATTTACTAGCAGCTCCCAACCCCAACCCCCCCCCAAAAAAAAAGCAGAAGCTCACAGCTTACAAACAACAAATAAGCTAATCTGGTACCCCCCAAATTTTGTCTGAATTATTAACCATCCAAGCAGGCCACATAAATCGAGGATTATCTGGTACCCCTCCGAGAGTCCTTCGGGACATTCGTTAAAATTGGAACAGTACAGAGAATAATAGCATGGCCCCTACGCACACGCATAAAATCGAGAAATGGTCCAAAGTTTTCAGAAAAAAAGAAAAAAAGAAAAAAAAAGAAACAAAGCAAGAAAGACAGAGAAAGGGAAGAGCAGGACAAACTCACCTTTTCATTCAGGTTTCCTGTGTAGCCTACCATCAACCGCAGAGGCTCCACCAGTACCCAGACGAGTAGCAACACAGTTCGAGCAATATCTTTCTCCGGTCGTATCTGGCACACAGTCCGGTGTAATAGTATGTATCAACAAATTTACACCGGAATTAATAAAGATAACTACTTTGGGGGGCACCTGTACAGTAGCCTGGAAATAGCAGGCCTGATCACCCTGGTTATATTTTTTGCTATAGCTTAGCAAGTAGAATATGGTCGTGAGAGAGGCGATATGCATGCAGCTAAGCATACAATAGTACTCGTGTGGCGTGGCTCATTGGCATGATTCTTAGGTGTGTGGAACTTCTGGTCTACTAGGCAATCCAGTGGCCTTTCACAGCATGTTGAGTACTGTCTACCACAGGGTGTCTAGTACAGGGTGTCTTGTACAGGGTACTAAGGAGGATAGAAACACCCATCCATTTCTTTAGGATTGTTTGCTGTGCATTTCTTGCTCTCTTTCAGGGGGGAAGGTTGAGGCAGGTTGAGAGGTTAGCAGCAAATAGCAATAGATGCATTCCAGGATGGTTCACCTTTTCCTTTCCTCACCCCTCACCTGGTTCAGTTTTCTTTCAATTGGATGCCGAGTGGTTCATATCAACCACACAAATCAACGAGTTTCGGATTGACAAGAATGCGGTTGTTGTCTCTTGACATTGTAGACAACCAAAAAAAGACACTGCTGACCACATTCATGCAAGAAATGAGAAATGAGGTGGTATGGAGGGAGGGAGGGAGGGAGGGAGGGAGAGGATGAAGGAATATAATGAGATGGGGAGTGAGGAAGAGAGAGGACTGAGGAAGAAAAGCAGGGGGGGAGGGGGGGAGGGAGGGAGGGAAAAAGGCAATGAAGCCTATGAAGGTACAAAAAGAGGGGAGAGGATGCAGGAAGGAAAGCGAGAGGAAGGAGGAGACAGAAAAAAAGGATGGCGGAAGGCATTGAGGCCAATAGGAAAAATTGAGGGTACAGAAGGAAGCAAGAGGATGGAGGAAGGGGTAGCAAGGAGGAAGAAAGGAAAAGAGAAGGGATGGAGGGAGGGAGGAAGGGAGGGAGGGAGGAGAGGGAGGGAGGAAGCAAGAGGAGAGAGTGAGGAGGGTGGTGATTATGCTACAACAGTTTCAACATCTCTTCACATATTCGAATTCTCTCGTGTAAAGCTACCATTATCTCATCATTTTCTATGTCTTCTTCATACCCGTCGTGTTTGTCATCGTCGTCATAGTTCTGTTCATCCACATTACCACTGGATATCCCAGGCTGTGCACAGAACAAGTTCGTTTGGCTGTCCCTTTCTGGATTCAGCTGTCCGTCGGGACTAGCATCCCCGCATTTATCCGGGGCAGTATCCAGGAGAATTTTCCAACCACCCCCTGACCCACCCGAATAATCAATCCTCCACCCAAGACCACTGAGAAGGCGGAACCCCAGCTGCAAATGACCCTGGACCGACTCTGACAGCTTCCTTTTTTCAGGCTGTTCACCCAGATGCCTTCTTTTCATGCCACCTGGAAGACGATCTTCCCTTCCAAATGTCTGAACCCCACAATCCACACATTCTCTTGCAGCATTTTTTCCTGCATAATCTCTGCCAGGGTTTCCACAACTAAGTGCCACTTCTCTGTCCGATGTCGAACCCGCAAATCGGGAATTCTGGTCCAACTCCCTCTCGCAGACTTTCTCCTCTGTGGATGATTCTTCCTTTCGTCCATCCACACCTCTATCCCCTTCCCTCTGGATCACTTCCTCGTCTTCAGAATCTCTGTTTTTCTTGCCCACCCATGACTCACTTCCTGCAGCAGCACATCTCTCGCTCTCTGTTGCCCCTGCTCTCCCACCCTGTCCTTTTCCACTTTCTGTGATGTTTAAGCCCTCTTCATCACGACTGGTGCCCTTCCGCTGATTCGTACGTGTATGTTTATCTTCATCCCTTCCGGTTGCCGATTCTCCAGCCTGGCTTTCTTCATGCCCAACAGCTTGTGGAGGAGGTTTTCCATCCCCCCCAGAGTGACATCGTGATTTATCATAACATCGCAGCATGCTGCCACCGATCAATGAGCCAAGCATGTTTCGATTGCCCCTTTCATTCTCCTCTTCCACCTCCTCCTCCTCGTGGCATCGTGATTTATCATAACATTGCAGCGTGCTGCCACCGATCAACGTGCCAAGCATGCTTCGATTGTCCCTTTCATTCTCCTCTTCCACCTCCTCCTCCTCCTCCCCCTCCCCCCTTTGGCTTCCTTCACTGCCATCTTTCTTCTTGGAGTAGCATGCAGGAGAGGGAGGAGCAGCACCGGTTGCAGAACACGCACCGTGGACATCAACAAATGAAGAGTGGAACGTTCCAATTGTTTTCGCTTCCCTGATTTCAGGATCATGAAGTACACAAACTTTTTTCACTTCCAGACTATCTTCTCTGATTATTTTCACTTCTGTGACTCCAGCACCATGGAGGACAGACGCACTTTTCACTTGCATATTCTCCACAGGTTTGCATTCCCCCCTTCCATCAGCACTGCCACTCTGCTCATGAAGCACCAGTGTGCTGGCCTGGAGACTCTTTCCGCTAACCCTGTCCTGTCCATCCATAAGAGTTGGCATTGCGACTGTTTGTGCATCCATCCTTGCGGAAGAGTTGAAGGACGATGTTCGAGCTCCCGAAGTACCCTCCTGCTCACATAGGGTTGGGTCTGCTAAAACAACGGGACCACGTGCTAGCCTCGTTTCCCGGGCAGTAACACCCATTTTCACAACATGGGTAACTTTTCGTTCAGGTTGAGAAATTGCCCCATCAGCTCCAGGTTCCGGTCCCTCGGGATGACCTGCTAGCCAAACGGTGCTCACCCACCCATTAATGTTGACCCAGTTATCGAGAGCCTGGGACACGAGAGAGGAGAGTTGCTGCTTGTATGCCTGTGACATTATCACAGTACTGTTTGCAAACTGTAGATCCTGTGCCAGGGAGCCAGGCATGTAACAGCTGTGATTATGGCCGAGTGCACGACGGTCCACCGAAAACAGCGAACGACAGGTGGTATCTGTCGTCAGCCTTGCATTATTTGTCTTCAATCTAGAATCCCCATTCCCCAATGATGGCCCTGGGATGTCATTTGCCGGAACAGAGACACGATCCCTCGTCGCCAGCAATTGAGAGCACGTGCCATTGCTCGTTGCTGAAACTGAGCCTCCTAATGAACCTGAGGGAGAAAAACTCACAGGAGCCCAGACATTTTCATAGCCACCCATTCGTCGAAGAGATTGCCTTGGCGACAAACTGCCTCCTATTCCCGGCCCCTCTTCCAGGAGTCCACAAGGGACTGCATCTTCGATCGCCATGGCTCTCACCGCCATTGTGTGAGCTGAAGTGATGGCCTTGGGCAAGCTTGAGTGCCGTTGCTGCCCACGTTGCTGCAGCTGACGAGAGGTGGGTCCATGCCCCTCTTCAGTGCTTCCAGACGGCATGCATGTGGTATCATCATTATCATTGTGACATTTGGATTTTCTGGAGCTTCCCCCCGCGGAGTTTTGTGCCAGATCCGATACCGTCACAGGTACTTCACAAGTCTCATCATTTTTTGAAAGCTGAAGAACCCCCAACTTCTCGCTTACATGCCGGATACGGTCGACTTTGATCGGTGGTCGAGGGGACCAACCATGTACAGCTTTGTTTGGACGGACTGAGGAGGAACTGGGTCCTCCACCACGGTCCCCTGCCAGGGCATCCAGCAGTGCTGCTTCTTCTGACGTCAGAACGACCCCAAGTGGGTTCTTCCCCTCATCGGACCAACGGGGAGACTCTTTGGTTGCCACTGCGGTGTTCCTCTGCTGCTGTTCCTGCTTCTCCACGACGGCTTGTTTTCCGACATCAAATTCAGTGCGCTTGTTGGACAGCGATTCAAATGCATCATGAAAATGATCAGATACCATCTTCTTCTGGATATGCTTCCAGTTTCCATCCATTATGACTGGATTTTTCACGCCGTCCTCCTCCTCCCACGAATCCTCTGGCAACACATAATCATGGCACCGGATGATCTCCTCGTTTTCAGGTGTCACTCCGTCATTCCAACAATCTGGCTCCCCTCCTTTCCCCCCCTCCTCTATCTTCCTTCCTGTGATAGGTCGGTCAAGTGCAACCCTTTCAGTTTTGCCCATCCGACTCTCCTTCCTCACGTTCCTCCTTCCTCTGACATCGTCCTCGTACTGACCCGCTCCCATGACGATTCCTGTACCAGCTTCATCCTCCATTACATTTATGTCCGGCACTCCTTTCCTGATGTCCCATTCGTTTTTTTTCTTCAAGCCATTCGAAGCCAAGGGAAGGAGATTGCTGCCACGCCCACTCTGCAAAACTGGAGCTTGCACAGTTGGAAATGCTGCTGCAGGTGAACAGGGACTGAGATGTCTTGCCAAACCATCCCCTTCCTTCAATTCTGATGAATTACGGACAGACAGATTGCTGTGGCTATTTGGATGACTGCTTCCCTTATGGGCAGACGGACATTGCACCGACGGAGAGCTGCTCCCACTCTGGTGGTTTGGCTCCTTGGACCCAGATGAACCTGGTTCAGAAGAAGCGCTACTTTCGTTCAATTTATCAGGTCCAGTGTTTCCAGCTGAACCTGCTGCAGTCTGACTGCTGATCCTATTCCCGTCATACGCCCTATTGGGCGGTCCAGCCCGCTTGACTTTGACAGCCTTCACTCGATCAGCAAGCAGCTGCAGCTCACGAATGACAGGATGAGAATAGACAGGTCCAACTGAACCAATGGCTGCTTTACACATGTCAGCTCCACCGTTTCGAATGCTCCCATCCCGAACATGGATAATTTCTACACTGTCTCGGTGAGTGGAAACACTATTTTGGCCATTCCATATGGCATGGTTGCGCCCGCGGTCGCCATCTCCTCCAACCGCACCTGATACCAAACAGCCTGTCTGGGACACGGATAACCCCAGTCTTCGGCGAACTCGCATAAGCACTGCTTCAGCTTCCTCCTCCCAAAGCTCCTCCAAAAACTGTCTCACACACGAGCTGCCTTTGGCGAGGGCCTCTGAGTGTCCCTCCTGCAAAGCACATTTGGATACTGCATGCAAATTCTCATCTCCTCCTCCTGCGCCCTCTCCTCCTGTTGCTCCTGCTCCTCCTCCTACTACTACTACTCCTCTTCCTCCTCCTACTCCTGCTCCTCTATCACGCTGATACTTGTCATTGGTTAGAATTTCTGTGACCTTTCTTCCAGTTGTGCCTCGTTGATCAGCCTTGTCTCCTCCTACGGCAGCTGACAGCCTCTCACTCCTCAGCAGATGATCATCACCACCCCCATGGACTCTTCCCTGCCCATTGAGAACTCGCTTTTGTCCTAGAGGGCCATTGGTACAGCGAAGGCTATGATGACTGTTTTCATTGGTTTCGCGAACAGCGCCACTAGTAATGCACCCAAGAGCATCACTGCCTCTCACCCATCCCAAGGATTCACCCGCATCCCCCTGGGAGCTTATGTCAGTTCGTTGTGATTTGCCTCTCCTTGCCTCCTTTCTGGACTGCCACATGTCTGGATTACGGTGACCTGTTCTCTGATACAGTGACATAGCTGTCGTCCTGCGGGGGCTTAACTCTGCTCCATCCACTTTCTCTTTCTTTGCCTCCGTTTTCGTAGATCGCCATCTGGATTGAACACAGCATGCCTCTGGACAAGGTTCATCCCCAGGTCCATTCTTTTTCATATGCTCACCCCGTTTTGTTCCATCTCTTACACTATCAGGGCCGACACCATAATGATCCCGAGCTGCACTTGCCACCGCCATCACCAAGTTTCTTCAGCTTCGTCTCCACACATGGAGAATATCCTCCTCTTGTTCTCCATTTTCCACTTTCTTCTTGTTTGTCGATTCGCTGTTTACTCTCTCCACAACGGAATCAGTCACAAGATTACTCACCGGCAAGTTCTCTTTCCCCACGTTATGTCTCCTCACTTGGTGGCTACGCACGCCTCCTGCAGCCACCATAGCTATAAATATATGCCCCTTTTTCACGACAAGAGCGGGAATCCAGACTCCGCTTGCTACCTCCGTGCCGCCTCGTGCCCCCCCACCCCAACCCACCCCACCCACTGGCAACCCCTCTGCCAAACCTCCAGTCGATCTCCAGTGTGCTCTTCCACTGTGATTTGTCGCTATTTATATAGCTCAGGAGGACCATGTGATTGGAACTCAGTGGACGGTAAGGACTGATGGCGCCAACTGCTCAAGGGGGCTTCTCCGCAAGTTGGTTCAAGTTGCAGATTTGAGACCGTCGTTAAACACTATGTGAGCTTATCATCCCTCACGAGTGGGTCCATAAAGCCATCTCTACATCTGTCCCAGCTGGGGCCCATACTCTCAAAAGGACCTTTGGACTGAATTCCACTGTAGTTATGGTCGAAGTACACCCAGCAAAGTCCCAGTGTAGGTATCCCCTCCTTAGACCAAGTGCACAGCTCGACACACGGTTATCGTTTGGCAATGCAGAGGCCTGCAGGAGAAGCCATGATAGTGGTGAAAAGCAGCCAGCAATCCAGGCAGTAGTGGAGGAGAGGGAAGGGACAGGGAGTCCAAAAAAAAGTGGACACAAACACACTTTTCCTTTTTCCAAAAACCTTCTCCTGTTCGTCGAGGCTACTATCCATTCAGAGCAGCATCAATCCAGGGGTAGGTACCACTTGAGTGTGTTCTTCATTGTAGACGGTAGATTACACAGATCCATGGCCACAAACTTGAAGAACACTCGCACGTGGGACCTTGCTCCTGGTTTCTATTTCATGAGTAAGTCAAACAAAGAAGTGATCAAAACACGCGGAAAACCAATTGCTCAAAAGGTGCAAAGGTAAGAGGGGAGAGAGAGAGAGAGCTGTCTCTTATACACATCTAGATGTGTATAAGAGACAGGAGAAACCTTACCTCACAATGCTAGGTAAATCATAAACACTGCCTGTCAACAAAAAAGTAAGATGAAAATGAAAACCTCTCTGTTTCGCACACAATATCGCACGTGGGTACACCTGTGAACACAACAGCACACTTGCATGCTCATGTGCATACCCATGGATGCGTAAATAAATAAAAAGACGATTGATTAAAAACAAAGACCTTGCTTATCACAAAATATGTCCAAGTGTCCGAGCATGAGGGCATAGTCACCGTAGGCCATCGTCACAGGCCTATCCTGCCCCTGCACACTGACTAGTAAATGCCAAATAGAAGAAATTCAATGTTCATGCATTATGTTTTTCCTTTCTTCTTCGTCCGCCCATGGATGCGACTGACATGCCTGTCACAGGCATTTACAGGGGTTCGCCTGTGTGTGCTTTGCCCTTAGATCAAAGACTTAGCACACTAGGCTATCATCTCTCGCCCTGGTGCAACACTCTCCAACCCGGGCCGTACTCACCCTAGGCCTTTGGAGGACGTATCCAACCTCAATTATTGCCAGTTCACTTGAGACAGTTCCAGTGTGAGAGGGGATGCTCGTATCACCCCTTTAAACCACCAGTACCTTTCCCATATGTTGACTGCGGGCATTGCGCGCCAGCCTGAAAATAAAGACTGGTCGCCGATTGGATTAATCGGCAGCCGCCCTACCATTTCAGGCCAGCGCGTTACCCGGCACGCCTCTGAAAAAATAGCTGGGAAAGGTAATGGTGGTTTAAGTGCGGACACCGGGCTCGGGAGTTTTTGTTGCAGGGAGCAAAAAAAAAAAAAAAAAAAAAGTACGCCCTAATGCCATGGGGTTGGAAGGAGATGGCAAAGCAGAAAAAAAAAGAGGAGGAGGGGGAGGAGGGAGGAGCCGTGAACCTTTTCAGAGATGGAGTATAGTGTGGCAGCAAGCCAAGGAGGGGAGAACAGAGAGTTGAAGTAAAGGATCATCTGCAAAGGTATACTTGATATAATCTCCGTGTCTGTATCATAAAGGACAAAAGAACAACAAAAGCCAACCATTAAGAAAAGAACAAAAACAAGTCAAATAAACCAGCACAAAATTTACCTCCTGAGGGCATACTCACACGGGGACCTATAATCCCAAAATCCCAAAAAAAGGGTAAAAGGCCGGTCACACGGATCTACCAAATCCGCAAATGTACTATTCCAGTGCCCATTTGTCAGCGGCCTGGGAAGCCGTGGGGCAAGGGACTTTGCGGTCACCTCTGGAGGTGACCGCAAATGCCCTTTTTCATTTGTTGCATTTTTCTTCGAAAATTGGCAAAAATTCGTTCACAAAAGTTCTTGCACAATTAGTGGATGGCCCCGTGTGACCAGCCAAGTACCAAATCCCCATTTCTGCAGACGGCCGCGACCTTGTCCCATCTGAAAAGGCAAAGCAGTGTGACGTGAACCACACCCAAAACCTCAAATCGGCCCTTCCCAAATTGCGGATTTGGGGTCGCCGTGTGAGTATGCCCTGAGTTCACTCCACCCTTTTTTCCTAATAACGGTTGCGCAAGATCGGGACTCCCGATTTTGGGGCTAGGTCCCACTTACAACATTGAGGTAGCTCATGGTACAGTTTTCCACCACATGTGGCACATGGGATAGACCCACCATCCATCTGCTGGGAACAAGTAGGTAGGGAGATATTCAGCACAAATCTATCAGATTGAGTTTTCATGTATTAAAATTCGTCTTCTAGATTTTCCCATCCCTTGAAATCCATTTGCTTCATTTTTCTTTGTTGAGCCATCATTACCTCCTCGCGGGAGGAGACTCTGACAGAGAGTGTTGATAGTGTGTTTGGCCCTGCAGCCTCAAAATCATTTCCTTTATTTGGGTAGTGAATGCACCGGGCCATGCACACTGGGCGCTGAGCATTAACCAAGCCACTCTCTAGCACGAAATATTTAAGAGTGCATTAACCTAGCCATATTTTTTTGCTAAATACTCCTTATGAGTGGCTTACTTCATGACTGTCATACAAGATAATATTTGGAATTACTTTCCTCCTCTTTCAAGCTCTTCCTGCTATGTGCTTTGGTGTCACTGGCAACCTTGATCGTATTTAGTCATTAGTATTCCGTATCTGGGCATATGTTTCGTTTGGTGCACTTTTCCTTAAAGTTTGTTATTCTTATATGCAAACCCTGGTGTAGTGCAGTATTTTACTCATACTCTGCATTGGGTGGTAAGGTTGGATTCAGGCAACCCTCCATCCCTATTCCCATATCTGAGCCCTCGTATAATAACACAGTAATTCCAAAATTGCTCGTAATGTTTATCTCACCTAAACTCACCGAATGTAGAGGCTATTTCAAGGACTGCGGGTTGTCGGCTTTAGTTCTGGTTGGTAAACGTGGAAGGTTGGGGGTTGTTCGTAGAAGGCAGCGGAACTATTGGGGGTGGTGGGAGACCTAATAGTTGTGGGAACGTTGGTGACCTACTATGGCACAACTGAATAGCATTTAGCTGTCAAGAGAGCAAACTTGGGTTGTACCCATTGAGATCTAGGGTGCCTGGGAGATGGCAGTTCCTACAGAGGTCCAAGGGTGCAAGGTGGGAAACCTCGTCAYGGCAACCCAGGCTCCCCACGACTACTAGCTGCTGCTCTGTCGGGCCAGTATTGGTGCTGTATTCCTTCGGTGGAAATTACTTGATCTGCTTGTTGGGCGAATCCTTTTCTTCAACTCTCCAGATTCCTTTCTAGTTCACAATCTGTTATTTGGCTTTGTTCATTAGGGTTTAGTTATACCATGACTATTATAATTTCAAGTGGCGGTTTGCCGTTTTCTGGCCATCTGCATAGGCTGGACTTATAGGCTTGCTACACATTTTTCGAACATGGATTTTGAATTGGTGACAGTTTAAGGGGGCTGTGGATTTATTAGACATTTAAACCAACAGTACTTCCTAAAGTCGCGTAGCGTTAACGCTATGCGATTTTGGGAAACGTACGGGCCACTATAGGAGCGCCCAAATTCATCCAACTAGAAACGTTTCTACTCTATTTTTTTCCGCGGCTGATAGCTGGGCCAAGTACTGGTGGTTTAAGATTACAATTCCATAGGGATAGCTGGTTTCTCAGCTCTGGTGCTTCATGCTTGGAAATGCATTTGAAATTGTTTTAGGTTGTTATTCATACCTTTTTACTGCACTTCAGGGGAATTTTTTTTGAGAAGCTTCTTTGAGAGAAGAGAGTGAGAAAATGGGACACTGGACCAGGTTTCCATTTCTGCCGAAGCTGGGTAATGCCCCCAGTATGTTCATCCGGGTTGAATTGTGAGGTCCCCCGCCTCTTCTGAGCTTCAAAGGTGACCAACTTCTGAAAAAAAATAAAAATAAAAAATTCATGAGTTTTTAGCCTCTGACATCTCTCGACGGACTCTCGAAAATCTTCGAGTCTAGAGTGGAGTGAGACGCTTTGTCATCTATGCTCCCACCACCACCAGAGGAACTCCCACTCCCATTGGTGGCGCTGCCACCCGTCGAATTTCAGGTCTTCACGCTCCCAGTTGAGATAGTCAACAGTAGTTCTCACATGCTCCTCTCAACACCAGTCCTGCTGCGCACCCACTGCCTCCAGAGGTGCCGCTGTTGGATGTGCCCGCTGTCCTGTACTAGACTCTCTCTACCTTCGCCGTGTTCACACTGCACTCATTGTTACTTGACTCTTGTAGATTGTCTGTTGTAGGAGGAGTTGGAATCACCCTGCTCCCTGGTATTCCACAGGGAGACACAGCCCCTTGTCCGAGTTGAGTAAAACTCATGAAATTACCGCCCTCACTTCACTTACTCTAGAAGGCGGCGCTCGCGAAGTTTGAATGTAGTACACGACATTACTATCCTACAACTGAACAGTTCGTTTGTCGGCCCCGATTCCAGGTCTACTCATGAAAAACAAGGGCGCACGTGGGGTAGCTCCGACCACTTCAGAAATTGGGGAAGTTGCAAGCTGTGGACTCT